TTGCTCATTCAAAAATCCTATGTTGAGCACCTATCACATGTAATACTTGGGCTACAAGAAGTTCCTGCATTAGCCTCATGGATCTTACATTCTAATAGAGGAGATGGACATACACAGGGATAATAACAAATCAGTATATCAAGAGAGTGCAGGAGGGCTGGCTGCCCCAGGTCAAAGAAGGCTTTCTAAAGAAGGAGCTTCCTGGTCTCATTCTTAAAGGGTAAAATAACTATACAACAAAGGGAAGGGCAAGGCTGGCAACGAGAACAGTGGGAATAAAAGGCGTGGAAGTATAGGAAGACAAGGAAATGGCCAGGAGCTAGAAGCAGTTTAGTGTTGTTGAAGCACAGACTGAGGAAGATGGTTAAAAGATGAGCCTGAAAGGAAGTAGGAGGGCTGTGTGAAAGAGACTGAATGCAATCCTTTGGCCATCATGGGCTTCCTGATTGTGTCAAAAAAGGAAAATGAAAGCCAAGCTGTCAGGATTATGAGTCCTTCTCTTCCTGAAAGCAGTTGTTTTAATGAGTGGAAAATTAATACAATTTCTATAAAAGACATTTAGAAAAATATGAAAGAGCTGCATTCAAAACAAGGACAGTTTCATAGAGAAATCTACCAACTGTTTAAGAAGCAGACAATTCCAGTGATTTTTAAATTGTTCAAAAGCACCAAAAAATAAAGAACATCTTTACATTTTTTTAAGGTTGCCAGGATAACATTGATTTCAAATGTTATGTCAGGATTGCACAGAAAAAGAAAAGCCAGACCAGGTACCTAAGAATATTAATGTTGCAAAAATCCTTTTAAAATGTTATTACTCAGAATACAGCAGAACATTAAATGAATAACAAACACTATAGCCAAGTGCAATTCTAGCAAATTAATAGATCGAAAGTGAAAAATTATGATGATTTCTATAGGTATTGAAAGGCATTTCACATAATTGAACGCCCATTCTAAGTTTTCTTTAGATAGACAGGAGAACTAGAAATTGGATAGCAAACATCATGCATGATGGGGAAGCTCTAGGAACATTCGCGTTGGTGGAAACAGAATTCTGACTGAGAGGGCCTCCACGATTCCCATCCCCTGGCATCCACACTCTTGGATTATATCCTCCCCTGAGTGCAGCTAAAACCTCTGA